CCTTCCATTACCGTCTGATCAGCAGACGCCGCCAGCCAGCCGTGGCAGACGAGAGGCTGGTGTACCATTGGTTGGGTTGTGATGGAATCTTTGCTGGTGTACCATTGGTTGGGTTGTGATGGAATCTTTGCTGGTGTACCATTGGTTGGGTTGGAATCTTTGCTGGTGTACCATTGGTTGGGTTGTGATGGAATCTTTGCTGGTGTACCATTGGTTGTGATGGAATCTTTGCTGGTGTACCATTGGTTGGGTTGTGATGGAATCTTTGCTGGTGTACCATTGGTTGGGTTGTGTTGGAATCTTTGCTGGTGTACCATTGGTTGGGTTGTGATGGAATCTTTGCTGGTGTACCATTGGTTGTGATGGAATCTTTGCTGGTGTACCATTGGTTGGGTTGTGATGGAATCTTTGCTGGTGTACCATTGGTTGGGTTGTGTTGGAATCTTTGCTGGTGTACCATTGGTTGTGATGGAATCTTTGCTGGTGTACCATTGGTTGGGTTGTGATGGAATCTTTGCTGGTGTACCATTGGTTGGGTTGTGATGGAATCTTTGCTGGTGTACCATTGGTTGGGTTGGAATCTTTGCTGGTGTACCATTGGTTGTGATGGAATCTTTGCTGGTGTACCATTGGTTGGGTTGTGTTGGAATCTTTGCTGGTGTACCATTGGTTGTGATGGAATCTTTGCTGGTGTACCATTGGTTGGGTTGTGATGGAATCTTTGCTGGTGTACCATTGGTTGGGTTGTGATGGAATCTTTGCTGGTGTACCATTGGTTGTGATGGAATCTTTGCTGGTGTACCATTGGTTGTGATGGAATCTTTGCTGGTGTACCATTGGTTGTGATGGAATCTTTGCTGGTGTACCATTGGTTGGGTTGTGATGGAATCTTTGCTGGTGTACCATTGGTTGGGTTGTGATGGAATCTTTGCTGGTGTACCATTGGTTGGGTTGTGATGGAATCTTTGCTGGTGTACCATTGGTTGGGTTGTGTTGGAATCTTTGCTGGTGTACCGTTGGTTGTGTTGTGATGGAATCTTTGCTGGTGAACCATTGGTTGGGTTGTGATGGAATCTTTGCTGGTGTACCATTGGTTGGGTTGTGTTGGAATCTTTGCTGGTGTACCGTTGGTTGTGTTGTGATGGAATCTTTGCTGGTGTACCATTGGTTGGGTTGTGATGGAATATTTGCTGGTGTACCATTGGTTGGGTTGTGATGGACTCTTTGCTGGTGTACCATTGGTAGGGTTGTGATGGAATCTTTGCTGGTGTACCATTGGTTGGGTTGTGATGGAATCTTTGCTGGTGTACTATTGGTTGGGTTGTGATGGAATCTTTGCTGGTGTACCATTGGTTGGGTTGTGTTGGAATCTTTGCTGGTGTACCGTTGGTTGTGTTGTGATGGAATCTTTGCTGGTGTACCATTGGTTGGGTTGTGATGGAATCTTTGCTGGTGTACCATTGGTTGGGTTGTGATGGAATCTTTGCTGGTGTACCATTGGTTGGGTTGTGTTGGAATCTTTGCTGGTGTACCGTTGGTTGTGTTGTGATGGAATCTTTGCTGGTGTACCATTGGTTGGGTTGTGATGGAATATTTGCTGGTGTACCATTGGTTGGGTTGTGATGGACTCTTTGCTGGTGTACCATTGGTAGGGTTGTGATGGAATCTTTGCTGGTGTACCATTGGTTGGGTTGTGATGGAATCTTTGCTGGTGTACCATTGGTTGGGTTGTGATGGAATCTTTGCTGGTGTACTATTGGCTATTTTGTGATGGAATCTTTGCTGCTGACTGGAGTCAACTGATCGATCAAAAAATCAATTGCTTGCGTTTATCGACTCGACATAGACAAAGAAAGGTCCTGGTTTGTTTTTGTCGGTGAGTTCTTGTAACACTTTCTGGGATCTGACCTTGACCTAAGGCTTTTTGTAAATTATTACAGTTGTCTCGCCCTCAACCAACAAAACATCCAACAGACCTGTTGGAACAAAAATAAACCCAAGCAAATGTAAACTAGACTTTGTGTTAGGGTCAAAAAAGTAACGGAGTAATATCGTCAGCCTTGGGTTTTAGTTCATGTTACTTTGTTGGAGACTGGAATCCGTTCTTCAGTAACCTGGTTACTCTAGTGACTCGGTAACTTACCTGCAGATTCACCTGTCAATTGGTCACGCTCTCAACTTTCTATCACGTCATTTAGTGCAGACACACCCCAAAAATTTGACAATAGAGTATGACGTCATAAAATCTGGGAGACCTGGCGGTTTTTATGACGTCCGGCGGTTTTGTCCAAAACGTCACTTAAATCTTTTCTCTTAGACTCCCACCTCCCCGACCTGTCCCCCACCCCACACGACCTGTCCCCCACCCCACACGACCTGTCCCCCACCCCACACGACCTGTCCCCCACCCCACACGACCTGTCCCCCACCCCACACGACCTGTCCCCCACCCCACACGACCTGTCCCCCACCCCACACGACCTGTCCCCCACCCCACACGACCTGTCCCCCACCCCACACGACCTGTCCCCCACCCCACACGACCTGTCCCCCACCCCACACGACCTATCCCCCACCCCACCCGTCCCCGCGACCTACCCCAACCCCAGCCTTCCAAGTGCTCCAGACTCCCAGACTAAAAATACCACCAACTTTATATATGATTCATAAGCCACCTCCCTCCCTACTCCACCCCATCACTCCCCCCCCCCACATAACCCCCACAATCGATTATAATCTTTTTCTAAAGAGATCGATTGCCCGCTGGAATCGATTCAAAGTTTCATCTGATCTGGCCTCTGTCTGGGTTCTTTAGAGATTACAGGCGGATTAAGTGGGATTATCGTCAAGTGATGGCTATGGTCTGTGAATACAAGTCTGGAGGGGTGGGGAGGGGGGGGGGAGGGTCTCTGCCTGACAAAGTAACAATTGCAGATTTAGCGTCTTACTCACGGGAAATGGAAGACTGGCTCACTACAGCTTTCTATTTAATATTCTCTTTGAGTCGTTCGCTTTATGAGCATATCTTATGCTGCTGTCGGTGGGGGTGGGGGGGAGGGGGGGGTATTATGTTGTATTACCGGAGTAGGAAGGGGTGCCATGCGGTATCGCCGGTGTTGTGTGGTGGGTGGGGGGGGGGGGTTAATTCCTGGAGCTGAGTCACTGGTAGGCCACCATTAGACGACAACTATTGCGTTATGACATCAAGATACTTAGGTTGATGATAATTGGGTTGATTAATCTGTTGTCTTAGACTAGTCTATAACACATGGCGGGGGGGGGGTGCATAAGATTGGACCCAGGTGTATACCTACCGCCACCAGACAAAGGTGTGACCCCACCCCCAGGCTCCGGGTGCAGACTACTTATTGCTCGATGACTTCACCCAGGGGTGCCGCGACCTTCCCCACTTCCCCACTCCCCTCCCCGCACGTGCCTTCTAATAGCGCGTGTTTCTCACCCGCCAGGTCACGCCGACCCAGCAGACGACCGGCCAGCAGACGACCAAGTTCTAGTAGCAGACACACCAACACGTATCGAACATCAAACGGAGAAATTGATCTGGTGAGTTCTTTCAGTCGGTGTGACGTCATGTTTCAGTTGCTCAGACGGGCAACCCCGTGGGTAGGGCAACCACATGGGTAGGGCAACCACGTGGGTAGGGCAACCATGACACCATGTGGGTAGGGCAACCCCATGGGTAGGGCAACCACGTGGGTAGGGCAACCACGTGGGTAGGGCAACCATGTGGGTAGGGCAACCACGTGGGTAGGGCAACCACGTGGGTAGGGCAACCCCATGGGTAGGGCAACCCCATGGGTAGGGCAACCATGTGGGTAGGGCAACCACGTGGGTAGGGCAACCCCATGGGTAGGGCAACCACGTGGGTAGGGCAACCACGTGGGTAGGGCAACCATGTGGGTAGGGCAACCCCATGGGTAGGGCAACCACGTGGGTAGGGCAACCACGTGGGTAGGGTAACCATGTGGGTAGGGCAACCATGTGGGTAGGGCAACCCCATGGGTAGGGCAACCCCATGGGTAGGGCAACCACGTGGGTAGGGCAACCATGACACCATGTGGGTAGGGCAACCATGACACCATGTGGGTAGGGCAACCACGTGGGTAGGGCAACCATGTGGGTAGGGCAACCCCATGGGTAGGGCAACCCCATGGGTAGGGCAACCACGTGGGTAGGGCAACCACGTGGGTAGGGCAACCCCATGGGTAGGGCAACCACGTGGGTAGGGCAACCCCATGGGTAGGGCAACTATGACACCACGTGGATAGGGCAACCATGCAACCACGTGGTTGGGTAACCACGTGGGTAGGGCAACCACGTGGGTATTGCAACCACGTGGGTAGGGCAACCATGCAACCACGTGGGTAGGGCAACCATGCAACCACGTGGGTAGGGCAACCATGCAACCACGTGGGTAGGGCAACCATGCAACCACGTGGGTAGGGCAACCATGCAACCACGTGGGTTGGGCAACCATGTGGGTAGGGCAACCATGCAACCACGTGGGTAGGGCAACCATGCAACCACGTGGGTAGGGCAACCACGTGGGTAGGGCAACCATGCAACCACGTGGGTAGGGCAACCATGCAACCACGTGGGTAGGGCAACCACGTGGGTAGGGCAACCATGCAACCACGTGGGTAGGGCAACCATGCAACCACGTGGGTAGGGCAACCATGCAACCACGTGGGTAGGGCAACCATGCAAACGGGACGACCATCGTCAACCATCAACCCGCCAACCCGTCACGCACCAGCCAACAAAGATACGGGTGTACTCACCCAGACCTGGTTGAATCACGCGAGACACCCGGTCATTGATCGGCGTGACCTACATCTAGACACCCTACCCTCCCTCACCCCCCACACACAGACATTCACGGTACTAGAGCAACGTTAATTGAACTTTTTATCGCCGCTAGCAGAACGGTCATTTTTTATCCGGGAACTTTTGATCTTTGCCGCTCTGGGACCAGCGTAATGCGGCGGCGAGCTTTTAATGGTGACGTCACTGCTGCCTCCACACGTACCCCTCCCCGCCACCGACTTCTCCATCACCTGTCACCATCACCTGCCACCATCACCTGCCACCATCACCTGCCACCATCTCCTGCCACCTTATCCTGCCACCATCACCTGCCACCTTATCCTGCCACCATCACCTGCCACCATCTCCTGCCACCATCTCCATCACCTGCCACCATCTCCATCACCTGCCACCATCTCCATCACCTGCCACCATCTCCATCACCTGCCACCATCTCCATCACCTGCCACCATCTCCATCACCTGCCACCATCTCCATCACCTGCCACAATCACCTGCCACCATCTCCATCACCTGCCACCATCTTCTGCCACAATCACCTACCACCATCACCTGCCACCATCTTCTGCCACCATCTCCTGCCACCATCACCTGCCATCATCACCTGCCACCATCACCTGCCACAATCACCTGCCACCATCACCTGCCACCATCACCTGCCACCATCTCCATCACCTGCCACCATCACCTGCCACCTTCTCCTGCCACCATCTTCTGCCACCATCACCTGCCACCATCTCCATCACCTGCCACCTTCACCTGCCACAATCACTTGCCACCATCTTCTGCCACCATCACCTGCCACAATCACCTGCCACCATCTTCTGCCACCTTCACCTGCCACAATCACCTGCCACCATCACCTGGCACAATCACCTGCCACCATCACCTGCCACCTTCTCCTGCCACCATCTTCTGCCACCATCACCTGCCACCATCTCCATCACCTGCCACCTTCACCTGCCACAATCACCTGCCACCATCTTCTGCCACAATCACCTGCCACCATCTTCTGCCACCAACACCTGCCACAATCACCTGCCACCATCTTCTGCCACCATCACCTGCCACAATCACCTGCCACCATCTCCTGCCACAATCACCTGCCACCATCACCTGCCACCATCTCCTGCCACCATCTCCTGCCACCATCACCTGCCACCATCTCCATCACCTGCCACCATCTCCATCACCTGCCACCATCACCTGCCACCATCTTCTGCCACCATCTCCTAAGCCCATCTCCTGCCACAATCACCATTACCTGCCACCATCACCCACCACCATCTCCTACCACCATCTCCATCTCCTGCCACCATCACCTGATGGAGTTAAACTAAATGTTAATTGGTGAGGTAAACTAAATCTTAATAATGCGCTGAGCTCATACTTGAACGTGCAATGTGAAATATTTAATTATTGAAAATTTTAAAAATATGGAGTGTGTCTGTGTGTGTGTGGCGGCGTGGCGGAGGTGGGGGGGGGGGTGCTAGGGAGGATGTTATCTTGAACTTAACGAGACAGTAATTTGTTGAGAGGACCTAACGCACGGTTTTGTCCAGATAAATGTCACGTGATAGAGATAGTGATAGAAGGTTCTCGTGTGGCTAGCTTGATAAGGCTACACTAAATCCTAGAGAGATACCTCACCAGTATGGCTACAGCCCAACCTTGTGGCTACACCCCAACCTTGTGGCTACACCCCAACCTTGTGGCTACACCCCAACCTTGTGGCTACACTCTACTAATGTGGCTACACCCCAACCTTATGGCTACACCCCAACCTTATGGCTACAGCCCAACCTTGTGGCTACAGCCCAACCTTGTGGCTACACCCCAACCTTGTGGCTACACCCTACAAATGTGGCTACATTCTACTAATGTGGCTACACCCCAACCTTGTGGCTACACTCCAACTTTGTGGCTACACCCCAACCTTATGGCTACACCCCCAAACGTGTGGCTACACTCTACTAATGTGGCTACACCCCCAAACTTGTGGCTACACTCTACTAATGTGGCTACACCCTACTAATGTGGCTACGCCCCAACCTTGTGGCTACACCCCAAACCTTCTGGCTACACCCCAACCTTGTGGCTACACCCCAACCTTATGGCTACACCCCCAACCTTTTGGCTACACTCTACTAATGTGGCTACACCTTACTAATGTGGCTACGCCCCAACCTTGTGGCTACACCTCAACCTTGTGGCTACACCCCAACCTTGTGGCTACACCCTACTAATGTGGCTACACCCCAACCTTGTGGCTACACCCTACTAATGTGGCTACACCCCATTCTTGTGGCTATAACCCAACCTTCTGGCTATACACTACTAATGTGGCTACACCCTACTAGTGTGGCTACATCCTTCTAATGTGGCTACACCCTACTAATGTGGCTACACCCCAACCTTGTGGCTACACCCTACTAATGTGGCTACACCCCAACCTTGTGGCTACACCCCATCCTTGTTGCTACACCCTACTAATGTGGCTACACCCTACTTATGTAGCTACACCCTACTAATGTAGCTACACCCTACTTATGTAGCTACACCCTACTAATGTAGCTACACCCTACTAATGTAGCTACACCCTACTAATGTGGCTACACCCCAACCTTGTGGCTACACCCTACTAATGTAGCTACATCCTACTAATGTGGCTACACCCCAACCTTGTGGCTACACCCTACTAATGTGGCTACACCCCAACCTTATGGCTACACCCTACTAATGTGGCTACACCCTACTAATGTGGCTACACCCCATCCTTGTGGCTACACCCTACTAATGTAGCTACACCCTACTAATGTAGCTACACCCTACTAATGTGGCTACACCCTACTAATGTGGCTACACCCTACTAATGTGGCTACACCCTACTAATGTAGCTACACCCTACTAATGTAGCTATACCCTACTAATTTGGCTACACCCTACTAATGTAGCTACACCACACTCCCTTATCAAGTTCCGGCAGACGTACATGCGGATGAGACAAACGTTGATGGTTGTCTGGTTGCCATGGCAACAGAGGGGGGAGGGAGGTGACGTCTAAAGTAGTATCTGGTATCCCCAGACAAGACAAACGCGAGTTATCTTTGCTTGTCAAACGAGGCCGTTTGATTGGTTGATACCATTTCAGTGTTTTGTTTGATTGGTTGATAGCATTTCAAAATGTCAGTTGAACTAATAATATCTTATTGGTCCATCTATTGATTTTGAAATATCCCTATAAGAAGGGCGCGCTACTCTGCCCCATACATTTCCCCTTGTTTTTGGTTTAAATTGGAAATTAAATAAAGCGGGAGTGATCCCCCCTAAACTTTCTCGAATGTTCATATACGACTACAGGCAATGGCAACTCGGGTTGACCTAACCACACATTTCTGACCTAAGGCTAACCTACAAACAACAGTTTGTAAAATTCTGAAGTGTCTTCTCAATCATCTAACCCACCTGACCCATCTGACCCAACTCGACCCATCTGACCCATCTGACCCAACAAACCCATCTAACCCATCTAACCAACCTGACCCATCTGACCCACCTGACCCATCTAACCAACCTGTCCCACCTGTCCCACCTGACCCACCTGACCCATCTAACCAACCTGACCCATCTGACCCAACTCGAACCATCTAACCCATCTGACCCATCTGACCCATCTGACCCAACTCGAACCACCTGACCCATCTAACCCACCTGACCCATCTAACCAACCTGACCCATCTGACCCATCTGACCCAACTCGAACCATCTGACCCATCTGACCCATCTGACCCATCTGACCCATCTGTCCCACCTGACCCACCTGACCCATCTGACCCATCTAACCAACCTGACCCATCTGACCCAACTCGAACCATCTAACCCATCTGACCCATCTGACCCATCTCGAACCATCTGACCCATCTGACCCACCTGACCCATCTGACCCATCTAACCCACCTGACCCATCTGACCCATCTGTCCCACCTGACCCACCTGACCCATCTGACCCATCTAACCAACCTGACCCATCTGACCCATCTGACCCATCTGACCCAACTCGAACCATCTGACCCATCTGACCCATCTAACCAACCTGACCCATCTGTCCCACCTGACCCATCTGTCCCACCTGACCCACCTGACCCATCTGACCCATCTAACCAACCTGACCCATCTGACCCAACTCGACCCAACTCGACCCATCTGACCCACCTGACCCATCTGACCCATCTAACCCACCTGACCCATCTGACCCATCTCGAACCATCTGACCCATCTGACCCACCTGACCCATCTGACCCATCTAACCCACCTGACCCATCTGACCCATCTGACCCATCTAACCCACCTGACCCATCTGACCCATCTGACCCAACAAACCCAACTAACCCATCTGACCCATCTGACCCATCTAACCCACCTGACCCATCTGACCCATCTGACCCAACTCGACCCATGACTCCCATTGTGACAACAGAAACGTGTTGTCTTCAATTTTTCATGTGACCTCTGACCCGACATTTGAGATAAAGGTCACGGTCATCGCGTGAAACACTTCACCGTCAACATAACGTTTGCACCGGTGACGTCACTGATCGGTCGTGGACATCACAAGCAAATAAATTCCTATTTCTCTTATGAAACTTTAAAATATTTAGTGTCAGCTATCAAATGTAGGGGAAATAATTATTATAGTTCGATACACATATTTGATTACGTCTTGATTACATACACACACACAGACATACTGACAAAATTTGAAAACCATGTTTTTTCGACACAGGGAGTTGTAAAACTTCGAGATTTGTGAAAATCTTGATTCCGATTTTTGCGCGATTACAATACTTCGTCTGTACAATTTTTGAACGATTACAATACTTCCTCTATACGATTTTTTGCCCGATTACAATACTTCCTCTATAGGATTTTTTGCACGATTACAATACTTCCTCTATACTATTTTTTCACGATTACAATACTTCCCCTATACTATTTTTTCACGATTACAATACTTCCTCTATACTATTTTTGCCCGATTACAATACTTCCTCCATGCGATTTTTTGCACGATTACAATACTTCCTCTATACTATTTTTGCCCGATTACAATACTTTCTCTATACTATTTTTGCACGATTACAATACTTCCTCTATACTATTTTTTCACGATTACAATACTTCCTCTATACTATTTTTTCACGATTACAATACTTCCTCTATACTATTTTTTCACGATTACAATACTTCCTCTATACTATTTTTTCACGATTACAATACTTCCTCTATACTATTTTTTCACGATTACAATACTTCCTCTATACTTTTTTTTCACGATTACAATATTTCCTCTATACGATTCTTATACCAGAAAGTAACAGTAACAACCATGTTCGAAGTGAATTTTTAATTTACCTGATGAGAATTGTAAAATATTGAGGGTTTATAACTGTAGGTGGCGTTTTTCTTAAATTGTTTTATATATATATATATATATATATATATATATATATATATATATATATATATATATATATATATATATATATATAAAACGTTTATATACATTATAACTAATTTTTCGTATTTATCTGTATGTGTACTGTATGACTTTATGAATACTTAATACATAAATGTATTTAGAAATTGTATGCAAATAGACATTTGTGACTTTTTCTTGTGACTTTTGCTTACAATCTCTACTGTGTACAAAATGAGAATGTATCGACCAGCTTTTGTCTGCAGAATTTTATTTTTATATCCCCCCCTAAATTCCTACCCCACCTGAAATGGTGACTAAGTACTGACTCGTGACTAAATGGTGACTAAGTACTGACTCGTGACTAAATGGTGACTAAGTACTGACTCGTGACTAAATGGTGACTAAGTACTGACTCGTGACAAAATGGTGACTAAGTACTGATTCGTGACTAAATGATGACTAAGTACTGACTTGTGACTAAATGGTGACTAAGTACTGACTGGTGACTAAAACAATGACTGATGACTAAAACCCTGACAGAAGACCGCTAATCAAAACGACAGTATCTGATACACCAACACTATCCTGACTAAACGCTCTCGCTACTGTCTATGACAAACATCAAAATATGAAATCTTTATCTGCAGAAATCACATTTTTATTTTGGGAGTGTCACACGCTTGATTCCTTCTAGAAATCACCCCGAGAAATATTTGCATACTAATTAATTAACGTGTTAATTAGCTTTTTTAAATTT